AGGTGCGTGTGCGTGCCTGCCCAAGATCCTGGGAGAAGGGACTGTGGCGTGGCCATCCCCCCTAGGGGTTGATGGTTGATTTCTCGCTTTCTGTCTCTCTGTCTCTCTCTGTCTTTCTGGTGAGCACACAAGCCCTATAGCAAAAAAAGCCTTTCCAAAAAAAAAAAAAAAAAGTGTGTTAAGGCAAATAGTTTGTTTTTAACTAGGCAAGAGCAATGTAGTAATCTCAGAAAGAGGATCTAGGTCCCTCCTCAGCCAGTGTAACAGGGCCCCAAAACAGCAGTGAGTTTTATAAAGCTTAGATTCTGAGGCATCTAAGTGAATGTTCTTGGAGAGTTTGGTTATGTGACCAAAAGAACCTCAGTTGCTATTGCAATTTGGTGGGTGTCTTGATCTCATTAATCAAGAAGTGTCTGATTTGTCAACTGAAGGGAAGCAAATCATGATTTACTTGAATGTGATTAGACAGAGAGAACATTCTGGTATGAAAGAGAATGCCAGAGGCATTTAAAAAAAATTTATAATCTTCTCGTGATTTGGCAGGTAATTACGATCATTTCTGGGATTTTCATAGACTTAAAAGCTTTTTCGTAGCCACACTCTTTTTGGAGATGATCTTCCATGATAAACCAGCTGGAAGGAATTGCTCTGCTCCTGCAGCCTCAGCTGCAGCATTTTCCAAAGCCCAACTCAAATGCTTCTTGATCATGCTTCCCCACCCATCATTTAGGATAGTGCTATCAAATAGGTATCATCTTGTAGGCCAGCACTCTGATTGACTGGTTCTGGTCGCCTGGCTATCTTCTTGAGGAAAGGGTGTAACCATTGATTAGTGCTGTCTGCCTATGGGGCAGTCTGTAGGCAAAAGCAGTAGAATCCTGAGATACTTAGTGTGGAAGTATTTAACCAGTCCTCTTTGGTACTAACCTCGAGCTTTGAGCATACGTGCAATAGAGAGGCAGGGTAACTGCCCAGCAATGATTTGGAAAGCCAAATGCTAGTGATTAGATGCTGCCAAACTTCTGGTTCTTTCTACCTTTTCCCCCAGCTCAAAGGATGAAACTCAAATGTCCTTTCATAAGCATTTGCACCTCATTAACTAATACGTTGTGTACTTTCCAAGCACAATTTAGAGGCCATATCTTCTACTGGCCCGGTGTTTGCCTTGGGCCTCTTGGAGAATCAAGGCTCTATCCCCATTTCTTTGGCCCATGTTGTGTTTGGAGCTGGGTCAGCCCTGACCGGTGACTCTTCATCTAGCATTTGCTTTTGATTTGTCACTGTCATTAGTGTTGTCACTTGGCATATCCTCTTGAACTGCCTTTAGGTTACTTTTCATGGACTGTGACAACAGAGAGGAGAAAGATACATGCCAGACTCTCAAACTGGCCCTGCTGGTACGAGAGCTCATCAAGTGCCTGGTAGGGATCCAGGGCGTGAAGCTGCCATGAGAGGCAGCCGGCCATGTGCTAGGTCTGTGAAATAAGTGACCCCTGAACGTTGTCTCTTGGATAAGCTTGACTCTCCAGTTTCCCTCCATGTCACTTTGTCTTATCAATGCCAAATGTAAGTTTAGTGACCCCCCACTGCTCCCAGCAGCTAGAACCATGCCTGGAGACGGTTAGCAACTTTATGATGTTCTCACTTTGGGGAACCCTGACCCTTTTTCTTCTGGCCTATCCATCAGCCTCTTTCTCCATGTCTCCTTGCAGGATCACCCATCACATAAACCACCTCTCATTCAGTGAGCATTTATCCTGCCCACACATGCTGCCAAGCCTGCTGGGTGTAGTACCTCACAGTGGCCACTGGGAGCACTGTGGGATTTTTTAATCCCTTATTTTGTAGGTAAAGAGCCTCCGCCTCATAAATGTTAACTATCTTGTACCAGAGTGTTCTGTCAGTAACTGGTCAAGCCCAGACCTGACTAGCATCAAAGCACCATCTTCCCTTCTCTTAGCTGCTCCAGGCCTACCTCTAGTTCCAGGCTCTGCACCCGAGGTTTCCCCTGCCGGACATCCCTTTGTCCCTGACTGCAGGGTGACCTCTTACAGCTCAGCACGTTCAGGGAACAGAGAAGGTAGGGCTGAGTGGTGTTAGTGAGACACTAAGAGATAAATGAGACTGAAGAGAAAGGCTGGGTCCACACCGTGAAGGATTCTGGGTTAGGGCAGTGGAAGCACTGAGGATGCTAAGCAGTAGGGGACAGTCTCGGATGTTACTTTGGAAAAATCACTCTGCCTGTGTGGAGGAGAGTGGCTTGCAGGGCGTGTATTCTCTCTATATCCTATTCCCTGCAATTCTCTGTGGCTGTTGAAATAGAGTCAGATGAGTCCTGCAAGTACCCTCCAAGTCTAATAGAATTTCCAAGAGACAGAGGTTGGACAGCCTACTTTTTATTCTTATGATAATGAGCATTCTTTGTGATCTCACATTGCTCTTCCAAGGAGGCTGTCTCTGGGCTGTGAGTTTATTTCTTATGCTAGAATTTGGAAATACAGTTACTTGAGGAACAGTAAACTCAGTGTGGTTTATATAGGATGAAAGTTGTTATATAATATGAAAACTTGGAGTTTCAGAGGTTAGCTTAGTAAAGGAGGGATAGCATAGCTTTAATTGTTGGTGGAAATTATTTCATTAAATTTTGTCTCCTCATTTTCATCAGATTTTATTTTTCTTCCTATTTCTTAGTGAAAGAAAGGTTTGTCTGATGTGGTCAAGTCACTCTTCTGGCTGCAAAAAAGAACCAGGGTTTTGACAGCCCATGATAAACACTATGCGAAGCTGAGTATGTGGATGTTTTATGCATTTATGGAAAACTGTTATAACACTCTGGCTCTCACTGCAAGACAAAACAAAAACAAAGGCACAGCGCAAAACCTTGCTTTGCTTTGGAAATGACGGTGGCATTTATTTAAATTTTGTACTTTTGTGGGGGTACATTAGCAGGTACTTAGCGGTAGTATTGACAGCCATGTGCTTCCTAATTGCTGCGCATGTGGTACATAAATCCCAGCCCCCAGTGAAGCCCGTAGAGGGCTGATGTCATTTCCACAGGCAGGGTTTGTGCAGGGATTGTTAGTGACACTATTTGTTTGTTACAGGCCAAAAGAAGATCAGCTTAAGCTTTTTTTATACTAAAGGAATAAGGTGACCGGGGGAATATTAATTTTAGGTCTGTACGAAGAAAGCAAAAAGGTTCAGTGACTTATTCTCCCTTTAATTGCATGGTTCTTGCAATATCTTGTGTGCCATTTTCACTTAGTGTTTCACACTGGTTTGAAAGAGGTGGGCACCTCAGGGACAGAGGGGGTGCTGTCTGAGTAGGCATGCACAGAGCAAGTTAATGGAGGCTTCAAGACATTAGGAGCCCGATAAATTTCATGTCGATTGCACCATGGCTCCTTTTTATTTCAGGTGAAGAATTTTAATTTGTTAAAGGGTCTAAGTGGTTTCTTGCACTGACAGAAGATTGTGCATTATTAGAAAGTTTAGATAAGGAAAAGTAGACAGAAGTGGAAGAAAACATACTTCTTGCCTAGTGTGAATATCTTAGTACATTTTCTTCTAAGTCTTTTACCTTTTATATGACAACAAACAATGTGTTCCCTGGAATCTCCTGGGTTAAGATTCAGGTTAGTGACCCCTTTGCCCTCCCCCCAAAGCTATTCTGTCTCTTAATTTTTCTATTAGTGTCTTTTATATCTGATGTAAAAGTACTTATTACAAATGCCTGTTATTGTCTGTGTGTCATATGCAGTCCAGTCAAGTGCTCAGGTGAACCTGAGGTACAGGAGGGGTGATCTCTTGACAAAGGTAGGGAATAGGTGCCAGGCAAGGGCTGCTTGACTTTGCATTCTAGGGCCTTTTAAGACGCTTGTGAGCTAGCCAGTGACATGATGGTTAAGACAGCTGGGTCCCACATGGCCAACTGTGTGACTTTAGTCTCCGATTCGGTGGCTTGAGAAACACACCAGCCATGTGTGTGCATGCGTGCCCAAAATCCCAAAAGGAGGGAGAAATGAAGGAGAAAAGATTGCAGCATGACTATTCCCCATGGAGGTGCTTTCTCATTTTCCCTCTCTGGCGAGCATACATGCTCTGGTAAAATTTAAAAAAGATTCTTCACTCATAGTTTATGGAGAGCATGGCAGGATTACAACTCACATTTCTCTGAAATGTTTTAATAAATTATAGTTGGCAGTCTGTACATCGATTATAGACTGCCTTATTGCCACCTCAATTTTTGTGTATTCAGGATCAGCTGAGAGTGTTGAATAATTCAAACTGGAGAGAGTCAGCGACTCACAGAGGCCTGAGCAGGTGCACGGGGCACAGTGAGGGGCAGGAGCGTCCCAGGGCTCCTGCATCCGTGTGACCTTGAGCCCTTCATTAGCTACATGACCTTGAGGAAGCCTTGAAGTCCTAAGACCCAGGTTTTCTTTCTGGCAGGTGGGAATAATATTATCCACCACAAGAGCTAGTGTGGTGCGGTGATGAGGAACGTGTGGGAGGGGCTTTTCCTGCCATGGAGTAAGTGTGGCTGAAGGGTAACTGTGCCATTGTGAGTCAGTCCACCATCACTGCCGTCTATTCTCTTGGTTTTCAGAACCGAGAACCTCGTGAACAGAATGGTCAGAGTTATTCTCATTGTGCTATTAGCAGGGACATTCTTGGCAGGCACAACTCAGAGTAGAATGAAAGCCTTTGCTAGAAAAGAGTTCTTCAATGATAAAAGCCTGAGGTCTGAAAATGATCTGATACAGCATGTTCTGACCATCCTCTGTGGACCGTTGACTCTGAAGTGGTAAGATCGAGCAAGTCAAAATGTGTTCAACTCCTGGAGGGTGTGCATTGCTCACAGGTAAGCAATGTCATAATCTAGCAACCTGCGGTGCCTTGCTGACAAAGTGGCAGGAAGGGAGGGTCCAGAGAAGGTGGGACAAGACATTGGGGAGGGTCTGCCCTGAGCCTCATCCTCTGGTGCTTGTGTGTTCCAGGTGGCGGAGATGCACGGCGAGCTGATCGAGTTTAACGAGCGCCTGCACAGAGCCCTGGTGGCCAAGGAAGCCCTCGTGTCCCAGATGAGGCAGGAGCTCATCGATCTCCGTGGGCCGGTGAGTGCTCCCACCCGGCAGTTCTTGGCCTTGCCGTTCTGCCTACCTGCTCTGCCTGTCCTTGCAGCCCCTGTTGCTCACAGCCCCACCATTTCCTCTGGCCTTTGTTAGCGAGGATGTAGAAGAGCCCAGAGACTCAGAGTGAGCAGCCCTCTCCTTTCCAGCCAGATGCAATTTGACCTACTGCTACCTCTATCACTTTGGCTTTCTCCTGGATGTGTGTGTATGTGTGTGTGTGTGTGTGTGTGGGGGGGGGTGTAGAATGAATTAAAAGTCAGAAATTCTATTGAGGCAGCATTCTCTGGTCCTCCCTCTAGTAATCTGTATTCTGAAATTGGCATAGATTCCTTCACAGCCCCCCACCTCTTCCATACTTTATCATATAGATTTCTATGAGCAGTGAGCAGTCTTGGTTTTATGTTCTTATCTTTTACCTTCATGGCATTACTTTCACATGTTGTTTGCTACTTGTTTGTTTTCAATTCAATATTATGGGTTGAGGAATATGCTAGATCGTGTGTACATCTGGCATAGGGTTTTTCAGCCATGGCACTATTGACATTTTGGGTGATATAATTCTTTGTAGTGTAGGCTGTTCTGTGCAATGTGGGAAGTTTAGCGGTATTTTTATTATGTAAAATGTTAAATATTCAAAAGTAGGCAGATAAGTATAATGTACTCTCATGTGTCCATCGTCAAGTTGGACTATTATCAGTCATGGCCAATCTTGTTTCAAGTAACCTACACCTGTTTCTTCCTTCTATATTATTTGAATCAAATACTGGGTACCATTTCACCATTTATCTTAGTATATTTCTAAAAGTAAGCAAACATAAACATAAATATTATTTCATTGTCCCTCCCCCCCCCCCATTCTTAGTAATCCCTTTATATCATCAAATACTGGTAGGTGTTCAAATTTCCAATTGTGTCACAATTTTTTTTTTTTTTTTGGAGAGGTTTTTGCTATAGGGCGTGTGCGCTTGCCAGACAGAGAGAGAGAGAGACAGAGAGATAGAAAGCGAGAAATCACCCCCCAGGGGGGATGGCCACACCGCAATCCCTTCTCCTCCATTCTCCTCTCGGGATCTTGGGCACGCACGCACGCACAAGCGCCCAGCGTGAGTTTTAAGCCACCGGGTCCGGGACTTGAACCGCGGTCAACTACGTGGGAGTCCAATGACATAGCCATTATGCTAATTGCTAGTCCCTTGTGTCACAATTTTTAAATAATTGTTTTGATTCACATTCTACACATGGTAATTGATATGTCTCTTAGGTGTTTTTCTTCACATTTAAAAAATTATCATAGAATATATGTAACATGAAATTTTCTATCTTAACCACCTTAGGTGTCTAGTTCAGTGGCATTAAATACATTCACATAGTATGTCCCCACTTAATATATACTGAATGTCTGCACTCTATGGCAGAAATGGAGAGAGCGGAAGGAACAAAACCATGCAGAGCGACTGTGGACACTAGAGACTGTGGGAGGGGGTGGGAGATGTGGGCATGGGTGGGGGGGCAGGAATCATGAAAAAAAGAATCAAAACATTTAAGGGATAAAATGGAAAACTATCTGTTGATGAAAACATGTATGGTAATACCTTTGACTGAACTAATATACAGTGTATTCATGTTGGGAACTATTGGGTTGCATTTTTGCATAGAAAAATACTTCAGGACTTCCCAGATGACCTAATTAATTAATTAATTTAAAAATTCATATATGGTGCAACCATCACCACCATCCATTTCCAGAATCTTTTCATCTTTCTCAATGGAAATTCCACACCCATTGAACCCTGAGTTCCTCTCACCTCCCCACAAGCTCTCGGCACGCATCGTTTTCACTTTCCGTGAGTTTGACTTCTCTCAGGTTTCTTTTCTTTTGTAGAATCTTCCATCATCTCTTTCTATCTCTATCTCCCTTGCTCTCTTACAATTTGTTTATTGAAGACACTTGTCAATTGTTTGTCTTACAGGGTTTTCAGGTTGATTACGTCTCTGTAGTGCTATTTGACTTGCCCCTCTGTTTTCTCTATTTCCTTAAACTGGCATTGGTCTCTTGGAGAAGTTTGTCCCCAGCTTCCCTCCAAGTCACCTAGCTCACTCTAGATTGAGGATTGGATTTAGGGTTAGTTTTACTGATAACGTGACTGTTGCTGGGAGGTATTTTCTCTTAGATGTTTAATGCCAGCTGTCTCTCTTTGTGTGGTATTAGAACTATTTATTGTCACTTCCTAGATCTAGTTCGTGTCTCCCAAAGGTTAGTGCTGAAGTGTGAAACTGCCGAGTTTTAGGGGATGGTTTCTTAAACGGTACTGAGTTTTGCCATATTAGAAAGGAAAAGCGTTTTTTAGTGATTCCTTCGTCAGTGCCCACAATTCAACACTTTCACGTCCTCACCAACACTCTGTAAGACGGTTTTCGTTTGCCGTTCCTTGCTCATAAATGAGGTTGGCCATCTCTTCATTCTCTTGTTGCTCATTTCGGTTTCCACTTCTGTGACTTATTTTTTCATAGTCCTTCCCATTTTTCTACTAGACAATTTTTCTTCTTATGGATCTGTAGCAGTTCTTTTTTAAAGTTTATTTATTGACTCCATGGGCAAGAGAGACAGAGACAGACAGAGACAGGAATCCCAACAGGGTCTTTTTTTTTTTTTTTTTTTTTAAGAGAGATTTTTGCTATAGGACATGTGTGCTCGCTGGAGAGATAGAGAGCAAGAAATCCCCCTCCCTCCGGGGGATGGCCACACCGCAGTCACTTCTCTTCCATTCTCCTCTTGGGATCTTGGGCCCACACACATATGTCTGGCATGAGTTTTTAAGCTGCCGGGTCTGGGACTTGAATCGTGGTCAGCCATGTGGGAACTCAGCGACATGACTAGTACTCCTTCTGTGGTCCCCCCCCCATAGGGTCTTGATGTCATGGTTCACCCCCAGCCTCATCCAGCCCTGAATCATGGGTATGCACATGCCTAGTGTACTCAGGAAGGTCTCCAGATGCAAACCTGAACCCTTCCCATGTGGGAGAGTCTTGCAGAGCATCAAATTTTACTGCCATGTCACTGTTCAACCCTCATGTGGCAGTTCTTTATGTATTCTTTTTTAGTTGTATATGTTGTAAATATTCCTTCTCAGTTTATGACTTACTTATTCACTTTTAATAAAAATAGAAAATGTCAAACATGTGTAAAAGCAGGGAATGATAGCATGAAATCTCAGGTACCCACAACTCCATTTCAATTATAATCAACCCAAGGCCATTCTTGCTCATTCACATTCTCCTTAATTTTGGGACCAGCAGATGACACAATGGTTGCATCACTGGAGTCACACATGGTTGAGCACAGTTTGAATTCAGGATTTGGTAACTTAAAACTCACACTGGGCGCATGTGAGGGTATGCCCAAAATCTTTGTTTTTGGAGAGGTTTTTGCTATAGGGCGCGTGCACTCGCCAGACAGACAGAGAGACATAGAGACAGAAAGCGAGAAATCACCCCCCAGGGGGGATGGTCACGCCGCAATCCCTTCTCCTC